CTGGGAGAATTCGGAAATGCAACGTTTGGAACAGCAGCTTCCCTACGACTTTAAAATAAATGCTGTGCTTCACTGTAAACGTTGTGTACTCTTGTTCACCAACATGGCCTAACATCCTAAAACCCACACAGCTTCCCTACATGAAGCGAAGAGGTGAACTATGAAGTCGTGCTCTGAGTTTCTGTGTCTCTTCTTTCAGAGATGTTGTCTGGCTGTATGGAGAGCCTGCTCAGCACCTTCTCAGGACCGCTACCTTCAAGCAGGCCTCAGCTGGAGACCATGAAGCACTGTGGGTACAGCATGGAGCACTTCAACCAGGGCCTCACTCCCCCTCAGATGCCTGGAGATCACATGAACCCCTACGGTAGGCAGCATGAACACTCTGCTCATTACTGCTGTAGAAAAGGCCTTCTTATTACAACCACCTCAGAATTGTTTGACTCTCCTCATCTTCTGACAAAGACTAGCAGTCATTTCTGCCCAGTCCTGCTGACAGGACTGAGATCAGGGCTTCCCAGAGTCTATTCCACTCATTGACTGATTTTAGCTGATTTAGAGCTGCTCCTGTCTGTCTGTCCGTCTGTCTGTCTGTGCATGAAGACTCATGCTGGCTCTGTCATCTCTGAAGGCTTTTTTAGCCATAGAAGTAGTTCCTATGCAGGCAGTATTTTAGCATCATCAGTAGCCTCTATAGAATGCCTTATTTGGTTGCTTCATTCAACAGACTCATGGTCCACAAACAGATCAAACTCTTATTTCCGTTGTCCTAGCCGTTATCATTGTCATTTTCCACTTCACCCAGAACGGGTCATGGGGTTACTCCCAGACTTCCCTCTATCCAGAGTCCTCCTCCTGCTCCTCCCAGGCCAGATGACACAGTCCCCCCATGGTGTCCTGGTTCTCCTCCTGGTTCTCCTCCTGGTGGGACGTCCCTGGAACCCCTCAAAGGGAGGCGTCCATCAGATAAAGATGATCCTCAGCTGACTCCTCTGGAGGAGAAGCAGCTCTACTCTGAGCCTGATGACCCGGCTCCTCACCCTCTCTCTGAGGGAGAGCCCAGCCTCCCTGCAGAGGAAGCCTGGATCCAGGATCTGGTTCTTTGGGTCCTGATCCAGATTAATGACCATAGGTGAGGGTAGGAACGTAGATCGAACCTTAAACCAGAGCTTTGGCTTTTCTCTCAGCTCTGAACCAGAGCAGACGGAGCAGCGTCTGCATTAAAGCTCCCGCTCCATGCTTCCTTCAGTCCTGAACGGGACCCCAAGATACTGGAACTCCTTTACTTGAGGCAGGAATCCCCCCCCCCCAGCCTGAAGAGGACCAGCCACCTTTGTCTGGCCTAGAACCAGAACCAGAACCACGGTCTTGGACATGGAGGAGTTTCATGAGAGTTCATTTATATATAACCTGGAAGCTGCTGCTGCTGCAGTGCATGCTGGGACAGCTGTCAGTCTGGAGAACAGACAAGTCTGCTCTGATGCATGCTGGGTAAAGAGGGAGGGGCCGGAACAACATCTGGGGTCTTTCTTGTTCTTGTGAATTGGAACAGTGCTAAGGCTGAGGCTCCATTTCTTCCACACTTTCCTGTGTTCTTCTCAGGAACGTACTTGGCAGGAC